TCCTCATACTGGACATCCGTGATAACAAAGCGAAACTGACATCTCTTCACCTGAAACAAGGAACTAATAAATGCACGATTGAAATATTATGTGTTTTGTGTGTGATTTTCGTGCGATTTGGGGTTTTCATATGAATAAAGAATGTTTACAGAATGCATATGCTAGGTAAGGCTAGCCCATAGCTTCATCTAAAATGCTAAATATAACATATTTCAAAATCTTTTCATGACTTGAAACCATTTTAATGTAGGTAATCAACTGGGAAAGTTTCATGGTGATATCTGCTAGTTAAAAAAATTACCCTATTCACCTGTAGTGTCTCGCCTTAAAACTACCTGAAGCTGTCGAACACACAGACCTTGCAACAGATGGGGAGGATTCCCCAATTAAACCCAAACGAAGAAGAATGTAAGTTGTCTTTATTTGTAATCTATGCTTATATTTAGTCAGTGTATTGTAAAATGTGGCAGATATGTAAGTAACAAAGTGATTCTTTAGGCCAAAGAACCTACTTTTTCCTGGAAAAGATGAGGATGAAGAAATCAGTGTTGATCAGTCAAAAGATAATGCAAAGAAAAGGTAAGTTTCCATAATATTTCTTACACGACATATAGCTTATTTCTCTTTCTCTGAACAGAACAGAAGAACTGCCTAGAGCTCCGAAGATCTTTCACTCATTTTCATCTGACTCCCAAAGGATGCAGAAGACTGGATCTACTCAGAAGTCTGTGTTGGCCAAATCTAAGCCAACAAAATTGTAAGCAGTATAAGTTGTTATTTTGAGTAAGCTAATTGATTAATTTATCTTGTGAAAATGCCTAAAATGCTCTGTTCTAACTTTCTTCAAACCCCCACATAGTTTACCAAATATCCCTCCTAATTCCCAAAGTCATCATACTTCTAATGTACCTAAGAGGACCCACACACATTCTGACCAGTCTCGAAGAAACCATGCAACTGCTGATCCACTTGAGAGGAGCCGCATTAACCCTGACCCGCTTCAGAGAAGCCGCACTTCTCCTAACCAGCTTCAGAGATTCCACACAAGCTGTACTTCTCCCAACTTGTCTGACAATGATTGCACTCCACCTGACCTGCTTCAGAGATGCCACGCTTCCCCTGATTCACAACAGAGAAATAGTGCAACTGCTGAGCCGTTTCAGAAGGTCCAGACTTCCTCTGATCCACTTCGAAGAGGGCACAAAACTTCAGACTCATTTCAGAGAGGCCGCAATTCCCCTGATCCGCTTCAGAGAAGCCACACAACTGCTGAGCCGTTTCAGAAAGTCCACACTTCCCCTTAACCGCTTCAAAGAAACCATGCAAATGCTGACCCGTTTCAAAGAAGCAACACTTCCCCTGACCTGCTTCAGAGAAGCTGTATTTCTCCTGACTTGTTTGAGATAGATTATACTCTCCCTGACCGTTTTCAGAGAAGTCACTCTCCCCCTGACCCACTGCAAAGAAGCTGCACTTCCCCTGATCGGCGTCAGAGAGGGAATGTTTACCACCAGCCACAAGGACTATTAAGACATCAAGCTGTTCTTGATACTTGTAAGTATTTGTTTATTGGGAAAAGTGTACTATCGTGTACCACTTTTACATATTGTGTACCATATGGACTTAGGGGGTTTATTTCAGTTTCTTGCTTTTGTTTCAGCCCTCCTGCGTAACATTCTCACAAATCAAGAGATCATGATGGAACAAATGAAGATAATCTATAGGACAGTTCAGGGTCTAAAATCTGTCAGTGAAGAAGACATAGGCATTGAAGCAAACCTACTGCCAGTAGCTGATCTTCAGTCTCTGCAAAACTTGGAGGAGCGATTGAGAAAATTTCCTGACTTTCAAAAGCAATTGGTAAGTCAGTTATATTCAAGATATATATATGTTTTGTTTAGCCTTGCATTCATCTCCCCTCATATGACTTCGATTGTGAATTTATCATTGAGTTCTGGAACTATTCCTCCAGAATTAAAAACATCTGCCATTACACCAGTCCCTAAGAAGCCTGGCTGTGATGTTTCTGATTTGAGTTCTGGAACTATTCCTCCAGAATTAAAAACAGCTGCCATTACACCAGTCCCTAAGAAGCCTGGCTGTGATGTTTCTGATTTGTCCAATTACAGGCCAATCTCTAACCTTCCATTCTTGGCTAAAGTTTTGGAGCGTGTTGTGGCTTTTCAGTTAAATCATCACCTATCACTGAATAATCTTTTTGAACCTTTTCAATCTGGGTTCAGAAAGGGCCATAGTACTGAGACAGCTCTAGTGAGGGTTGTAAATGATTTACTTATTGCGGCAGATTCAGGTGCATGCAGTATTTTGGTTTTATTAGACCTCAGTGCTGCTTTTGATACTATATGTCACTCTCTTCTGCTAGATAGGCTGGAAAATTGGCTGGGTGTTTCTGGAGCAGTATTCAGTTGGTTTCAGTCCTATTTAACGAATCGTGCCCAGTTTGTAAGCTTGGGTAATTACAAATCTGACACCGTGCCTGTTCAACAGGGAGTTCCTCAGGGCTCAGTGCTGGGTCCAATTTTATTTAACATTTATATGCTTCCACTTGGGCAGATCATCAGGAATCATGGTCTTGGGTATCACTGCTACGCGGATGATACGCAGATTTACATCACCACTAGTCCTGATGTTCATTGCTCATTAATAGCATTGCGTAGTTGTCTAGCAGAGATTAGTTTATGGATGCAGAATAACTTCCTGAAGCTGAACGGCTCCAAAACTGAATTGATGCAGATTGGTACAGTGGCGGCTACTCGTAAAGCCGAGCAGATTAGTCTGATTGTTGACTCCAGCTTGGTAACTCCAGCTTTACAGGCGAGGAATCTTGGTGTCATTTTTGATCCACAGCTAACATTTGAAGCACATATAAAAAACATCTCTAAAACGTCCTTCTACCACCTGAGAAACGTCAGACAGACAGATAGACAGGATGAGTGATCACATCCGTTCACTTCCGTTCACTTCCGGTTTGGAGAGAACGCCGGCGCACGTTTGGCTGCTGCTTCTCCTGCCGTATTTTATTTTATTTTAGTATTTTACTCTTTATTTTAATTCTCCGGAAACATTTTAACTCCTCTGAGTCTGAACTTGCTGCTGGATTTGCACATACCTACCCTGTCTGAACCAGCATTTTTGAAGTGTCTCCTCTGTCTGCTGCTGGTCATCTCTTATCTGTTGACGTGTTCACTTCTGCACTGTCCCTGCTGCCTGCCTACTGTTCGCGGCTGTCTCCGTGTGAGATCAGACGGGTCCCTGGTGTTGTGTCAAGCTCTACGTGTGTAATGGATGTATAACAACTTTGAGCGTCATCGTGCGACTTCACTTAATCACTTGGATTATTGCCGTCTTTATTATATCAGGAACCAGCGCTAAGCAATGGACTAAACTTCTGGACATCACTATGCTGAGGTACTCTTTATCTGAACTTTTATCTCTGGATCACCATGACCGTCCAAATATCAGCATCATACAATCTTTGCGTTCCTTGCACCTCCTTCGCCGGCCTAGATACATTCATAGAGGCTCTCGTCAGAGTCGTTCTGCTGCCGGTGCTGGGATTACTGTGTTTTGGTCGAACAGCAGACGCACGCTGCGTTGTACCCTTGTACGCCGTGGAATCTGTCATGAAAATCTAAGCTATCTAGAGGCTCTCTCTCAAAAGTGTTTGACAAATGTGTTTTGCAGCACTATGCGAATTGCTCACTTTAATACGAGGTCAAAAAACAATAAAACGGCACTTATCACTGATACTATTCTTGATAAAAAAAAATCGATATTCTTTGCCTCAGTGAAACATGGCACAAAGACAATGACTATCTTAATCTGAATATGTGTGCCCCAGTTGGATATAAATACATTGATGTGCCTCGAGCTTCTGGCAAAGGTGGTGGCCTGGCTGTAATATTTGGGCCTACTGTATCAGTTAATGTTATTGATGCTCCTAGTGTTTCATCTTTTGAATGTCTGGTTTTTAAAATCAATTGTGCCTCACCTGTTCTTGTGCTGCTCATTTATCGCCCACCAAAACCTAATCCTGTATTTTTCTCTGAGTTTACTGAGTTGTTGACACTTCTTAGTCCACTCTGTCCTGCTATGGTGTTGACTGGTGATATAAATTTTCATATTGATAATCCTAACTGTGTTAATACGGTTACCTTTTTGGACATTTTGGATAGTTTTGATTTTATACAGCATTCATACACCACCACTATATATATATATATATATATATATATATTTTTGTCTGTTGTTGTTTTTTAAAGGAAGTTCAAACAAAACTGAAAATGTAAAACTTAAGCTTGGATGAGTTGGTTTCTTTTGATGAACACAAAGAAGACATTTTGAGGAATGTTGGTAACCAGACAGTCCAAGGTAACATTGGTAAAAAAAAATATTATGGAAGCCAGTGGTTACCATCTACTGTCTGGTTAAAGGATTAGTTCACCTCAAAATGAAAATTTCCTAATAATTTACTCACCCCAGAATCGATGCAGTTTCAAAGGTCTTTGAAGAGCTTCAACGGGCTGGGGAACGATCCCAGCTGAGGATTAGGGGCTTATCTACTGAAACGATCAGTCATTTAAAAAAAAATATATATTTATATACTTTATAACCGCAATTATTTGTCTAGAGCCATTTTACCAAGCACCAGGAACTACGTCATCACTTAAAGGTCACGCTCGACGGCGCCTGCGCTGCCGCCCCACTGTTTTACAAACGTTACTTCCATCTATGGGCACTTCCACCGGGACTTCGAGCGTAACCTTTCAGTGATGATGTAGTTCCTGGTGCTTGGTATACCGATTTAAGACGAATAATTGTGCTTATAAAGTATTTTTCTTTTAAATGACCGATCGTTTCGGTAGATAAGCCCCTAATCCTCAGCTGGGATCGTTCACCAGCCCGTTGAAGCTCTTCAAAGACCTTTGAAACTGCATCGATTCTGACTGCAAAATGATGGTAACCATTGCAGTCCAATCTGTGGAGAAAAATCCAGAAATGTTTTCCTACAAAAACGTAATTTCTCTTCCACTGAGGAAAGAAAGACATGGATATCTTGGATGGCATTGGGGTGAGTAAATTATTAGGAAATTTTCATTTTGATGTGAACTAATCCTTTAACAACATTAAAAAAAAAAAATCTGCTGTGTTCAACAGAAGAAAGAAACTCATACAGGCATGGAACAAGTGGAGGTGAGGAAATGATGGCAGAATTTACATTTTTGGTTGACCTATCCCTTTAGTTGATAATTGGCATTTTATTTTAACAATTAATAAAATAAATGTTAATTCACAGATTAGCATGTTGGCAATGAAAGGTGGGACAGACACCAGAGATGGAGTTTGGAGAGTAATGTCAGCAACAATCACAAACTCCCTGGCCAAGAGCATAAATATGCGTGGTGTTAATGGGAAGATCAGCTTTAAAAGCTTGCAGTTACGAAACATTGTTCTTGGTAAGTCTGTTGTGAGCATGACCACTTTTTAAAAAATAAATCTAATTCATTTATTTAAAATTGTACAGTCTAAAACATTTTTTTGTATGCCCAGTACTTCAATTTCTACAACTGTTATTTTAAAACTGTATCATAATATACTTTTTACATGTTAATTTGTGCATACTATTGCAAATAAATAATGCTACTAATACATGCATTTGGTATTTGTAGGAGGTCATTGTTAGTTTAAATTGACCAATGCAATAAGTAAGCAACTGTTTAAGATTATTAAATGATTTTTTTTTTAGGTGAAAATAAGATGTTATGCTTTGAATGCATTACATTATCAGTACTTCAACCGTTCATTGGTTACTGTTTACACCACAGTTTCCATATATAAAAATTTTTTGAGGTTTTTGTTTGCTAAAATGGTCTTGTTTGTCAAAATACTGTTGTCAAAGTGTGACAAGCCAGTTAGTCAATCAATAGTGCCACATAAGCAATCATTTCCTGTATAAAATGTAACCAAAGCAACCTTATTTTAATTTGTTACCTACATTTATGTACAGTAGGTGGATGAATGTTTCTATATGTATGTTAATTTTGTATTATTAATTTAGTATTTTGTCTTTTAAAGCTTCTTTAAAACCCTATGATTGTTAGCCAGAGGAGAACTGGCCCCTGACTAGCCTGGGTTCTCCCAAGGTTTTTTTCTCCATCCAATCTGATGGAGTTTTGGTTCCTTGCCACTGTCGCCTTGCTTTTGGCTTGCTTAGTTGGGGATATTTAATATTCAACAATATTATTGAACTGTGTTGTACTACTTTCATGTTATCACTGTGAAGCTGCTTTGATGCAATCTGTATTGTGAAAAGCGCTATATAAATAAATGTGACTTGACTTGACTTTTAGCTGCTTTGAGAAAAAATCGCCTCACACAACATGCCACCGATCAGGAGATAGAATCAACCATTCAAAGATGGCTTCGGCTTGCTCCTGATCGAGATGGAGGAAGGAGAGAGCGCTTAAGGAGAAAAGAGGCCCAAATAGGATCACTTTCTCCCACACACACACATTCTGATGTGTAAATTGTTTTAATTTGCTCTATGTTTGTTTAGAGTAAATTAGATTATAATGTTCAAATTTCAGTACTAGATTCCTTTAGATTCATTTAGTTAGTGTTACGGGTGTGGTGCAGGCAGAGGAAGAGGCAGCAGTCAACAGGTCCAATTCAAATATACTTTACTCATATAACTCAAACCAGGAATCCAGGAAACACTAACCACACCAAATACAAACGTACATACGAACGAGAACCGACAAGGAGTGAGGGAGAACACAGGGTTTACATACACAGAGAACAGATTAGGGAAACAAGGCACAGCTGGGGCAAATGAACTAGACACAGGTGAATAAACTAAACACTAACGAGGAGCGGGAAACTGGAAACAGGACTGGCTTAGGGAGGGCTGGATGGGACCAGTAGAGTAGGCTCTGTAGGGCTGGCTTGAAGCTCAGGCTCTGGCGGGCAGGCAACGGGCTCAGGCTCTGGCGGGCAGGCGACGGCTCAGGCTCTGGCGGGCAGGCGACGGCTCAGGCTCTGGCGGGCAGGCGACGGGCTCAGGCTCTGGCGGGCAGGCGACGGGCTCAGGCTCCGGTGGGCAGGCGACGGGCTCATTGCTGGACAGGACCAGTGGAGAAGGCTTTGAGCTGGGCAGGACCAGCGGTGGAGAGGGCTTAGTGCTGGACGGAACCAGCGGCGAAGGGGTCTCTGGGCTGGACGGAACCAGCGGCGAAGGGGTCTCTGGGCTGGACGGAACCAGCGGCGAAGGGGTCTCTGGGCTGGACGGAACCAGCGGCGAAGGGGTCTCTGGGCTGGACGGAACCAGCGGCGAAGGGGTCTCTGGGCTGGACGGGACCAGCGGAGAAGGCTCTGAAGGGCTGGACGGGACCAGCGGAGAAGGCTCTGAAGGGCTGGACGGGACCAGCGGAGAAGGCTCTGAAGGGCTGGACGGGACCAGCGGAGAAGGCTCTGAAGGGCTGGATGGGACCAGCGGAGAAGGCTCTGAAGGGCTGGACGGGACCAGCGGAGAAGGCTCTGAAGGGCTGGACGGGACCAGCGGAGAAGGCTCTGAAGGGCTGGACGGGACCAGCGGAGAAGGCTCTGGCTCGGCCGGCGTGACGCGAAACTCTGGCTCGGCAGGCGTGCAGGTAAGCTCAGGCTCGGCAGGCGTGCAGGTAAGCTCAGGCTCGGCAGGGCTGCAGGGAAGCTCAGGCTCGGCAGGGCTGCAGGGAACCAGCTGTGAAGGCTCGGCTGGGCTGGACGGAACCAGCCGGGGCGGGCTTGGCTGGGCTGGCGGTGAAGATGGATGGCGTAGCGAAGATGGCTGGAGCTATCACTGGGGTGATGGTGATGCGGAGACCTCTCTCCATCAGGATCCTGAAGAGGTAATCCGTCAGGTCACGGCCAGCCAAATCCATCTTGTCTTGGTCGGTTCTTCTGTTACGGGTGTGGTGCAGGCAGAGGAAGAGGCAGCAGTCAACAGGTCCAATTCAAATATACTTTACTCGTATAACTCAAACCAGGAATCCAGGAAACACTAACCACACCAAATACAAACGTACATACGAACGAGAACCGACAAGGAGTGAGGGAGAACACAGGGTTTACATACACAGAGAACAGATTAGGGAAACAAGGCACAGCTGGGGCAAATGAACTAGACACAGGTGAATAAACTAAACACTAACGAGGAGCGGGAAACTGGAAACAGGACTGAACCAAATACACAAAGAACGGGGGGAACACAGGACATACATGTAACAGTTAGCTCATATAGCATTCACACAGTTGCACAACTCTAGCTGTCCTTTCTTTTCTTTTTTGGCTTGTGCATTACTAAAGTATGTAAGCTTGAACATTTTAAAATGATATGCACTCTTACAGGTTGTAATAAGATGTTACACTTGGAATGTACAACATAAAATAGCCTTCACACTGTTACACAATTATAGGTGTAATATTTATTTTTGGTATTATTGTTAAATAAATTTTAAATTGAATAAAATATAGAATTTTTCTGTGACTTATTTGTTCACATGGTTTGGGTAAGATTAGGCTGGGATATGGCTCAGTTTTGGGGTTTGAAAGGGTGGTGTTGATATGGTTAACTTATGGCTGAGAATTGGTGCCAATAATAAAACATGTTTTGGCCCAATTCAGGGCCAGTTAAGGGTGATTAACTGGCTGAGATTCGGGCCGGTTATGGCCCATGTGTGACCCTTGTCTTTAATCCAGTTCTGGGCCACTTCAGGGCCGTCATTCTTTACGGTACTTGGGTCGAGGATTATTGGCTTGTGCCTATAAACTATTTTTGAGAATTTAATTTTCTTGTGCCTTATTTGTTCACATGGTTTGGGTAAGATTAGGCTGGGTTATGGCTCAGTTTTGGGGTTTCTGGTTAAAGGGTGGTGTTGATATGGTTAACTTATGGCTGAGAATTGGTACCAATAATAAAACCTTTTTTGGCCCAGTTCAGGGCCAGTTAAGGGTGACTAACTGGCTGAGATTCGGGCCAGTTACGGCCCATGTGTGACCCTTGTCTTTAATCCAGTTCTGGGCCACTTCAGGGCCGTCATTCTTTGCGGTACTTGGGCCGAGGGAAAAGTGATTGTGTGGCCCGGAGCTGGGCCAGAAAAAATTTGCTATGTGGGCCACTACGCGGAGTCACCTGTGCTTGATGATTATTGATACAAATATCACGCAATAATGATACATTATAAATGAATACAGTGAGGTTATGTATTAATTAAATACTTAATAAAAAATAGATAGCCTACTTAAATAGAAGTTTTAACTTTTACTTTACTCTTTTACTAACTCTTTGAAACTTCTTAAAACAAACTGTCTCAAAACATATTGATTTGCTAAAATAATGACAAAACTGATAAATCAGAAACATAATAAGAGCAAGGGTTCAACAATGACAATTATTGTTGAAAACTGTAAAAAAAATATTATTTCTCAACTGTCTCAATACAGTGTAATTGTCCTCAAAATCTTTTTTTTTTTTTTATTATTATTGTAACAGACTTTGTTGGATTGTACATGACAGAATCCAACAAAGTCTGTTACTATAATACCGGTAATGATGTACTGGCGCTCGTTGTATATGTGTGTATGCAATGTATTTTTCCCCTCGGGGCTTGCCGTAGATAGGAATGGGCCAATTGCTGCACAAAACATACTGTAAATAATCATGCAAACATACTTTTATCTTGCTCTTTTTTTTCTCCTCCTCTGTCCTTTTCTTCTTTCTATTTTCGGCACCAGAGGGATACGTCCTTTTTTGTGACATGGCTTAACATTACCATGACTATGCGCAGTTGCGCACGAATTGTCTATGCACGCGCGAGGTGTCTAGGGGGCCCCAAGCAGCCGCTTAGTTCGCTTATGCCTCGGGCCGGCCCTGCGGAAGGTCCCATGCCGGTATAGTGGGAGGCCTGGGGGGGTTCAACCTCCTGGCTCCTTTGAGAAAACAAACGATAAGGTCGTGTCTCCTCAGCGACTGGCCAGCCACAGGAGTATGGTGAGCTGCCATGGCTGCCACATACACTGAGCGTGGATGGGGAGCGACCCGCATCTCAAAGCTCTTGTTAGAAGGAGAGCACCACTGATACTTCGCATGAGTGGGGCTCGAAGTGTCTGGCTAAGCACCAGCCAGCGAATACTGACCACTTCAGAGCATAGAGGCGTCTTGTAGATGGTGCTCTAGCCTCAGTGATGGTATTTAAGACTTTTTCTGAGAGGTCCCCGGGTACCCGTTCAGGGGCCATACATGGAGGGCCCATAAGTCGGGGTGAGGGTGCCAGATCGTCCCGTTCGCTTGTGTGAGGAGGTCCTTCCTCATTGGCACTGGCCAGGGAACAGTGTCCATCATCCGTGCCAGCTCTGGAAACCACGTTTGGGTTTTCCAGAGGGGGGCTACTAGGAGGACTGAGCATCCATTCTCCTTGATCCGTCTGATGACCTGAGGGATCATAGGGACCGGTGGGAACGCATACAGCGGGCATCTGGGCCATGGGTGGGCCAGCACTTCCCTGTTCTTTGAAAAGAACGTTTCGCAGTGAGCGTTGTTCCTTGAGGCGAAGAGGTCGACCTCTGCCCTGCCGAACACACTCCATATCAGACGAACCATCTGTGAGTTGAGAGACCACTCGCCTGAGGGAGTGTTGTCTCGAGACAGCATGTCCGCGCCCACATTTTGGACTCCTGGGACATGCGCAGCTCTCAGGGAGCGCAGGTTGGCATGCGACCAAAGGAGGAGCTTTCTGGCCATGACATACAGGCTGCCTGATCTGAGGCCACCCTGGCAATATATGTAGGATACCACCGACATGTTGTCCGTGCGGACCAAGATGTGGTGTCCCCTGAGGTCTGGCAGAAATGGATTCAGGGCTAACCAAACTGCTCTCATTTCCAGGCAGTTGATATGTAAGCTCTTCTCAGGGCTCAGCCAGAAGCCGGAGACTGGCTTGCCCTCGTGCAGCGCTCCCCAACCTTGGTTGGAGGCGTCTGTGAAAATGACTTACCTCCTGGAGGCCACACCCATAATTACACCCAACTGGTACCAGTTCTGGGCTTTCCAAGGGTTCAGAGTAGAGTCCTGCGCGAGACTGTTTTCTTCATCCCGCCCGCGCCCGCCGAATTTCTGACCATTACCGCCCGCTCCCGGGACGTATGTGTTACACTCCCGCCCGCTCCCACAATATGCATGTCCACTCCCGCCCGCACCCGCAAAACTCTGAGAATTTATTCCCGCACAATAATAGAGATGCATTGACTTTGTGTCTTCTCCCGTCCCGCAGGAAAAAACACGTATTTGTATTGCCAAGGTCTCGACGACCGCCTGAAAACGCGGGGGTCTGCGAGCGAATTGGAGTGAGTAGCCTCAATTTATAATGTTCATAACCCAGTTTGATACATCAGGGATGGTCTGCCAGGCCTGGGCCATTGTGGCTATGGTTTGAACATATA